TTCATTCATTCATTCATTCATTCATTCATTCATTCATTCATTCATTCGATTTATATCCTGCCTTTTTCCCCAAAGGGCTCAAGGCAGCTTACATCATTCTCCTCCTCCATCTTATCCCCACAACAACAACCCTGTGAGGTAGGTTAGGCTGAGAGTCTGTGACTGGCCCAAAGTCACCCAGTTGGCTCCATGGCTGAGTGGGGACTAGAACCCAGATCACCTGAGTCCCAGTCCCATGCTCTTAACCACTACGCCACACTGGCTCTCTTTCTCTTTCTCTTAACTTGGCTTGCTTTCAAAGCAAGAGCTGAGTGTGAGAAGTCCACCAAACCGATGAGAGCCGGATCCCAGGAAGGAGCACTGCAACCCTAAGTAGCAGTTATTCCATGGCTTAAATTGAGCTAGAACTCAGCCTCCAACACCAAGGATTATAGGATGGTAGGATTGGGATGGGCCAGAAGGCCATCAGGTCCACCTACTGCTCAGTGCAGGACTCCCGGTTAAACTGTCCTCAGGCAGCTCTCCAGCTGCATCTTGAATGCTTCTAGTGCGGGAGAGCCCACAGCTTCCCCAGGGACTAGGTGCCATTGTTGTACTGCTCTAGCAGCTGGGAAATTTTTCTTGAGCTCTAGCTTCCTGTAATGTATTCCGTGCTCTGCACTCCGAGATGATTGAGAAGAGCTCCTGGCCTTGCTCTTTGTGGCAGTCCTGCAAGCACTTGCAGAGTGCTATCATCTCCCCTCAGTGTTCCCTTCTCGAGGCTAGACACGCCCAGGTCTTTCCGTATCTCCTTTTACAGGTTTGTTTCCAGCCCCTGCATCATTCTGTTTGCCCTCCGGGCAACCCTTTCTAGCTTGCTCAAACTGTGGTGCCTAAATGAACAAGTAAAGGGGTGTTAAACATGTGCAGAGTGCCTTCCCCTATGCATGCAGGAGTTGTGGGTTTGAGATTAGAGCACACGGACTAATAACATTTAAGGACTAGCCAGGGGAAATAGGAAGGATAATATATTGGAAATGGAAGAGTTAGCAGCAAGTTCAACCAGTTTTTCCACTGCTTTGCACAGAGTGAAATTAGTGCTCTTAGCCACTCACTTCCCTTGACTCAGACGCTCAAGCACCTTGCCACACAATCAGCAGCTTGCAAGCAAGAGAGGTAAGGCAATCTCATTTGGAGAGCTCCTTTAGCATAGACGCTTTAGACTACATAGTTTGACATTCTTCTCCCCTGGAGTCAAAACAGCCCCCCCCCAATAAAAAACAGCTGCATCAACCAGGCACAGCTTAGCCAGGACTGTCCGTCCGCTGCAGCAGCAGCCCTGTTCTGGCACGATGCCCAGGGGAACATTGGCGCCCCACTGTCAACCAAGGCTAGCAAAACAAAAGCCATTCCTGTGGCCTTAATATGAGTCTACCCAGAAGCAGGGGCTGCAAGATGAAAACTCAGGTCTCTTCTTGTTGATGCTCACTGTAAATCAGCCAAACAAGGGGTGGTTGAATCCACTGTTTTCCATCTGTACTTATGCAGAATTGTACAGGCTTGCAAAGGGTCTTCAATTGTTCTGTTCGACAAGAGGACGTTTGGTGGCAGTTTGAGCATGCTAGATAGAGCCATATCTATGTGGTTACACAACTTTTTTCTGATTTTGTTGGAACAAATTAAGGAACAAATATGACAGCTGTGTTCCTATTGGTCAAGGCTGAGTACTAGCAAGCTATTTGGCACAAGCAACGGTGGCCAGCCAGCTGCATGGCGCTGCATGTATCAGGCTGATCTTTGGATGCTGCTGCACCGGGTCTACCTTTACCAGGTGGGTCTACCTTTACCAGACCCCCTGAACTAGCCAACCCCCAATGCTGCGCCATGCCTGAGGAAGCCACAAGGAGGCAGCGTTGCAAGCATATCTCGTTTGCTAGGTTGGCAGTGTTTTGGAAGGCGCCTGTTCTGGAGCTGGCTAGAAAGCGGTTGTGAGGACACAGCCAGTGATCTCCAACTGATGGAACAAAAGCCCCCCAAAATGCCACGTCCTTGGCAGCCCTGCTCAGCTCCTGTGGCCTCGAGGCTGCGGCTTCCCTCATGCAGGCAATCCATTCATTCATAGGTGGCCAGCGGTCGGAGATGACTGTCCAACCCGCTCCAGAACTTCGGTCCTGCAAAAATCCGCTGACCTTTCCAGCAAGTGTTGTATTTGGCCTTCTTGTCCGTTTAACTTTCCCTAGCAGGAGTGTCTTCCCCAGTGAGTCTTGCCTTCGCCTGCTCTGCCTCAAGCATGAAGACTAACTGGCTTCCTGCTCTACAGAGCCACTTAAAGGCTACCTGTTGGGCGCTCCCACTCATCCAAGGGAACCAAATTTGGCTTCCCAGGGTTTCGCAGCCGGCCACCTCCCCTTCCCCTGCCTCCCCGCCAAGCATCGATGGTTTGATGCAGTTTTCTCCCTTTTCTCAATTATGCTGCCAATATGAGCCTTTAAGCTAAAGTATGCTGGCATTTTGGCTGCTTCCTCCTTTATTTTATTTTATTTTTGATTTTGATTTATTTGATTTGATTTACCATGGCCCTGCCCCCTTTGTGTTTGGCTCCACCCATCCTTGGAATGCCCCCACAAGCCTCTCCAAAACCAAATTTGGTTCTCGCGGTGCAAGAAGGTTCCCCTCCCACCCCAGTTTGTTTGCCTCACTTAAAATAAGACAAGGCACTTAGCTTCTATAATTTCATATATGATTTAATTTTGTTTCCTCTCAGAGCGCGGCTCCCAAAACATTACAGTTAAAAAAAAAAAAAAACCCTTTCCATCTCCAGAAAACTACAAAATATGAGAATCACAATTAGTTATTTCCATATGGAAACATTTAAGAAAGTGCTGCTCATACTGTCTCGCGTACAGTACAGTCCGTGTGTGAGATTTATCTTAGACAGCCTTGATTAAAAAAAAGTTAGCAGAGAAGAAAGAGACTGAAGGCTCAGATTTCCACCCCAAAGTCCCTGATTAAAGGCTCCTGCAGCAAAATCAGCCTGTCCCCGAACAAGCAGCCGCCACCGGCTGGCCCAGCCCACGCATCCTCCGTGCGCCACAATGCTGCCGACTCAAGGAAGAATGGCGTCTCCGTATGTGCAATGCTCCTCAATGGCAAGGTTATAGTCTGCGCCTTTCCCCCCTTTATATGCGCTCGTCACAATCCTCAGCCAGCCGCGCTCTCCCTGCAAGAGGATCATTCCCATGAGTTTCAGCCACACGCTCAAGAGTCCAACCAGTGTTTGCATCTTGTGCCACCACTCTGAAAGCGTGCGCTGTGCAACCAGGCTCTGGGGTAGACCCACGGGTGGAGGGGACCTCGATTTAGCAAGGGGGTGGCAACAGATGTCCACGGGCAACATGCCCCATGAAAGCAGCCACTCCCCCCATGAGATGCTGGAAGCAGTGAGGCGAGAGCCCAGTGCGCAGAGGGGGTGCCGTTCTCTGGTCTAAGAGCCCCGGCGTGTTTCATGCCTAGGGAAAATGCAGGGTACGAAGTGTGGCACATGGTGGGGAAGACACCTGCCACACCTTGCCGTTCGGGGGCCTTCGAGCATCTGCTGTGGAGGTGATAGGATTATGCCTTTATGGATGAAAATCATGCTGACAAAAGGGGGGGCTGATTAACCAGGCAGCCAATTTTATTTATGTATGAACAGAGCGGCACTGGCTTCAGAGAGCCAGCACCAGCTCAGAAGAGGCATTTCTTCCGACACGCAAGAGAAGGAAGGAAGGAAGCCTCATCTAGGGCAATGGTCAGTGAGAAGCACACACTCATTGTCTGAAGGCAAAGGACACGCGCCTGTTTCCCACTCAGAGCAAGTGCTTTTGTCATATGCAAACTTATATAGATAGAAATCAATCAAAATCAATAGGAATAACTGCTAGGTTTTTGCCAGAACACCTTTTTGAGAAGCTTTCCTCAAAAACATCTGGGCTGCTCCAGATGTTTTGCACTATAAATCTCAAGTCCTACACATTGACCATGCTGGCTGGGGATTATGGGAATTGATGTCCAAAACATCTGGAGGGCACCTGGTTAGGGAAGATAATTTTGAAAGTTCGGGCTATTCTGCTTTCAGCCTCAGACTCTTTGCTACCTACAGAACAATCCTGCTACCTGAGGTGGAGTGGGGAGACCCATCACCCTGTCCCAACGGCCCTGCTAGCTTCGTGTGTCCTGCCTGGGGTGCAGCTTTCTCCTTCTTTATTCCACTGGCATCACTTCTCCTTTTATGTCCTCCCCACAGGCTGTAAATCAGCCACATCAGCTCCACAGCTGGCACCGTTTCCGTTCTGATCCACAGAAGTGTCAGGAGAACAAGCTGTGGATGCTGTGGGCCAGTCCCATCCTGAGGACACCCATGCAACACCCACAGGGGAAACACTGCCAGTAGCACATTCACACCGCTGCCCCTCCATGGGGGTACCTGGAAGAACACCTCTGTCACATCCTGCAGCCCCCTCAATCGTTTTAGGATTGCTCTGTTAGGGCATTAAAACCAGCCTCCACTTTGTACACCAGGGCCCTCTGCTCACCAGTGAGGAATCCTGAAAAAGAGGGACAGGAGGAGAGGGTGGCAGAGGGATTTTGGTTGGGGGTTTAGCCCCCTGCTTACCCATGGCTCGCCCCAAGAGTTCCGGACAATCCAGTATTCCGTGTCCTTTTCTACTCCCCAGCCAGCAACAGAGACGATGTGGTTTATTGCCGCACCTGGAGAGTATTCAGCATAAAGTCCTCCAGTATATTGGTCCAGCTTTGGAGTGGCCATGATTCCACAGCTGTTTAAATGAAAGCATATTATTAAAAGGATGATGAAAACCAACAGCTTTGAATATCGGCTCTGGAAAATGCCACAAAATTCAAGAATTCTCCATCTAGCTTTTAAATAAATGGTGCAGATTCCAGTGAAAACTTGTGTAAAATGCTGATACCATGCATCAATGACGGGTGTGGGTATCACTCTGAGACCCGCTGGCACTTCTACAAAAATAGCAACACCATCCTATACCTGTCTTCTCCAAAGCACCACAGAATTCAATGCACTGCAGGTGGAGGTATAGATGCTGTCAAGATGGCCATAGGAAAAGTCAAGAGTTCCAACTCCAATCTCAGGAACATATTCTGAGGTTGGAGCTGAAGTTCCAACCTTGGAATGTCTTCTCTCTGTCTTTACAGCTAGGGTAGATATCACAAGATGGACCTTGGAGCAGGCACTGGCAGGGCATTCCAGGTGGCTGGGGGGTGGGGGGGAGTCTGAGGCTCCCCTGGGGTACCATGTATCCCAGCAGGACCTCCCCTTCTCATGAGACCATTGCAATAAGCTGCCTCAGAGTTTTGCAGGGTGGGAGATGCAAAACCTTCACATCTATGCTGCTTTGGTCGATAGGGTATCTATCATCCTCTGTATTTGGAAGGTTACAGGAAGCCACACTGGATCACACTGCAAGTAAAAATAACTTGGTAATCCCCAGCTGACTCCCAGAGCAAGTCACTAACACAGTAAGGAGAGGATCGCAAAAGATGGAGGCCACGTCTGTGACAGACTCTTTCAGCAGAATGGAGATTGCTGCAGTTCAAACAATAATATTTTGCAGTTTCAAAGGCCTTATATAAAGGAGTCATCAGGAGCCACAGCTAATCTAATTGTAATTGCAGAAACTGGGTTCCGCTAGTAAACAGACATCTGGCAAGGGCTCTCAACCAGAACATTGGCTTAAAGCAGATGCTGATCACATTGCATCTAGTGAAACTTACCCACTGAAACTTACCCATGCAAAACCAGAACTGTAATCTTTTAAAACAGTTTCAGACACTGGAACAAGTGTGCAGTTTACTGGAAAGGGAAATGCAATCAAACTGGGGCATGAGAAACTGTAGAGCAGTCTTGGAGAGGAGCGAAAGCTGAGGGCAGAGGAACCAGTTTCCCAAAAGAGCTGCTGAGCTTACACTGGCAGAGTGGAAGGAAGAGCCATGCTTTGCTTCCCCTTTTCAATTTATTTCTCTGTGCTTTTATATATTATTCTACAGCTTGGGGGTTTATCAGGGAAATAGGAAAGGCAGAAATCCTGGTGGCCCCAGTCTTCCCATGATCTGCCCCCAACAAGCTCGTGGGATGCCTACTTTTCTAGCAACATCAGAGAGGCAAGGAAGGCCTCTGAATGTTTCTGCAGGAGCTGAGAGGGGTTCCAAGGTTAAACCAACACCTCTCCCCACCCTCAAGGCATGCAGGTGGGGGCACACTGAGAGCTGTAAGCCTCTTCTCTGGCTACACATAGGTGGGAAAACACCTGAAGAGGTTTTTAGCTGCTTTATATTAAACAGGAGATACACACGGTTAATAATCAATGAATATTTTAAACAAAAGAGGATGCAGGGAATCTAGATTATGCAAACTTGTTTCACTTCTCATGCCATCTTCTGTTGTTTTACCTGATAGGCCCATTTGCATAGATTTCTGCCATCATTTTTTCTCGCCCACTGACATCGCCAAAATCAGCAACTTTCCAGAGGGTGTAGTTTGTTATCACATGACATTGCCCAAAAGTAACACATGTTCCACACTGGTTAAATTTCTTACATTCTGCAAAAGAAACAAGCAAGAACAACAGAGGTGTTTGATTTGTCACAGGCAAGTTCATCTTGCAACGAAAATTACCAAGTCAGGGTTCATTGCACAAAAGTGGGTAGAAAGTATTTGTTTATTTGCATCATTCCTACCCTGAATTCAAAAAAGATTTTCTGAAGTACTGAGAAAAAATGAAGACAATAAATAACAATAAAAAACGTGCAGCAATACTAAAACATCAATCAATCACACAGATTTAGTTCTAAAACAACTTGCAGAATACAAGTCTTGTCAAAACAAATCCAAAAAGTAGAGAAATGGAAACTTGTTTGTCTACACCAGGGAGAGATTTCTATAATTCCCAGCATATATTAGGGAAATTAACCCCCTCATGATAATTTAGGCTGCAATCCTATGCAAGCTTTGACAGAAACAGTGTCCTGCAACTCCTGGCATGCCCCAATATTTTCCTTTGCATCCTTGGAGGCTCTCCATTCAAACAGAAGTGCTGATTCTTCCATATTCTTCAAGCATTTTGTTGCTGGAAGCAAAACACAACTTCTCTGGGGTTGTCTGCAAGGCTGCAAAGAAACACCTAACAAGACTGCTTGGCCTTCAGATCACACCTGACAGCAGACTCCCAGCATGATACAGGCTGGATCACGATTCTCATCTGCTCAAAGCACATCACCTAATTTCTTGCAAAAGTTGGACTATGATTACAACACGAGAAAGGATTATGAGAGGCGGCTACAGGTGAGCAGGCGTGCAAATAACTCCTGTAGGTATTTGCAAGCATTTAAATGAACACATCAATGAGCAATGTCGTTTCAATCTCTTTCCTTTCCTTACAGACATTTGCTGCTTTATCTGCAGGCAGGAATGGGGCCTTTGAATTCGCACACCTTGGTCTTTGGCTTGGTAGTTGTTGCAGGTCTCGTCAGGGATGCCGTGGTCATGAGCGTACTGCCACACGCCGCTGTCGTCCCCTCCTTCACAAGATCCGGCCTCGGCACAGTCGATCACGTTCTGGACCGAGAGGTAAGCAGAGGGCCAGACGCCTTTCCTCTTGATGTTGATGCGATCTGACAGACAAAGGAGGAAACGCAGCTGAGACCAGGCACAGACAACGCTCTCTTGACGCTTTTATTCTTACTCAAAGCACCCGAAGTGGTGCCGTGTGGCACTCGGGCTCTGAATGAGATCTCTGTAGGAGTGCTGTGGAGGGTTTGCTTCTGCAACTAGTTCAGCAATCTGGTGGGTTGGATGGGGGTAACTGAATGAGAGAATACGGGGTGTTCAGGTGGAAAACATTAAGCTCATGGATCCAGCTCTGAGCCCTCCTCCTGGACAGATTTAAAATTAAAAACACACCTGCAACTCTACCCCACTCTGCTGACCCAAGACCTGCTGCTCCTTTAAATCCCAGAACCGGAGGGTGCCTTGGAGGCTATGCAGGCCTCCCTGCTCAGCGCAGGACTCCTGTGCTTCAGTGCCTCCAGCAAAGATGACGCCATCACCACCTGAGGAAAGCAGCTCCACTGCTGAACAGCTTTCACTGTCAGGAAGTTTCTCCTAATGCCCACCCTGACTCCTCAGAAAAACGAAACAAACAGGCCAAGCAGGCTGAGAAGAAAGCCTTTCTCAGAAAAAGCAGCTGACTGAGAAAGGAACTTGCTCAGTGGCCACAGGTGGGCTGACTGAAAATAGAGCAGGTGAAACCCTCAACACTGCAAAACTTTGTCACAGGTGCTACTCGTAGTAGTAAGTATAGCTGCTGCTGCTATGATGATGATGATGATGCCACCGCAGATGCCTTTATTTAGCATTGTGGGGCAGGATTCTGTAAGTGACCAAGAACACGATAGGTCAGAGGCTTCCAGATGGTAAGCCATGATCTGTTAGGAGACCGGCAAAGGTTTCTAACCACGGTATGTTAACAATAACAAGCAAAAGTTGAAATTCATGGCTAGCCTTGTACCAAGGGCTTTTCTCATCGCCTCAGTTTCCCCCATCAAAAAACAGAAGCACTGCTTGGTTGTTTAGGCCCTGTTTTGTGCAGCCAAGCTGGCACTTGGCCTCTTCATGCTGGGAAAAGAAATCCCCCTGCAGAGTGACTCGGATATTGGTTTGCCTTTGACTATACTTTGTCCAGTTCATGGGCTGGAGTGGGCAGTTGATGCCCAGCAAAATGCTGCTTGCTTGCCTGACCCTGGGCTCAGGGTCGGTGCCCAGTCAGGCCTACTTCTGTTGCTGGGCCGTCTTCCTTCCGTAACGCATGACAAACCACACTGAAGGGAACATGGGGACCTCGAAGGGTAATTTTATAAGGTGAACAGCCAAGGGGCAATAGAAGAGGATCCATACATTTTACCAGGAGCGCCACACTAGGGATGTATGCGCCTTCCCACATTCCTCTTACCTGCTAAGGCGCTGGTACTGCCATGAGCCCAGCATGACCCGCAGTACTGAGGGATGTGCTGGTTGCGTGTGGAGCTTGCGTAATTGACACCATTCACGTTTCGCCAGTCCCAGCTCTTGGGCAGGGCGGCGAGGTCCAAATACTCATACGGACGACGGTAGGTTCTATTTGGGAGGAGAACAGGTGCACAAATTTAGTGTTGGACCCATGCTTGGGTGGGGGGAGGCTAGGCATAACTGAGGAATGGTTTATTTCACTGGCATCCAAGCCTTCCACCAAGTTGCTCAAGGCAATGAGGATGGTTCTCGCCCCCACATGTACGCACGGCAACCCTGCGAGGTAGGTTAAGGTGGAAGAGGCTAAGCAAGCCAAGCTCATCCAACTTAATGCCCTCTCAGGCCGCAGCCGATGGATGCACCAACGCAGAGACCAGAAAGCCTCTTGTGGCTCCAGTGCTCACCAGCACCCACAAAATTCCTGCAGCCCAGTGGCAATTCGAACTTGGCTTCCCCCCTTTCTCAGCCCAACACTTTAACCTGGTCTTCCCCAAACTGGCTGAGGAGAATGGCAGTTGTAGTACGACACTTCTGGAGAAGAAAAGCTGCTGAAAGCATTTTGTCCCGCTGACGGTGTGCACTTTCCCCTTGGCTGTCAATCACACGAGCCAAGCGGTCTTTGCTAGCATGTGACTGCCCAGGGCACAGCTCTCTGCTTGGGTGAGCACAGCCTGAGGCTGGGAAGACCTCAGGAAAAACAGCTCAATGACTGACTATCGGGGAGTTAACGAATTGTGTGTGCGGCGGGGAGAAGACTGGAAGGATGGACTTTGACCCCCTCATGGCTTGCTGGAACTCTCTGCTGAAACCGTCCCTGCGACAACGTTTTGTTCGAGGATCCTCTCGTAATTCCTAGGTGCTCTTGTGAATAAATCTGGAGGGGTTACTCTGCCTGGCTGTCCTACTCACGAATCACTCGTGGGATAAATTCTCCACCATAAAGGGTTGAAAAAACGATCCTGCCTCTGAGCCAGACAGGCGGACTGGCCCCTGGAGACAAGAGCTCAGCTCCGCTCCTTCAAGAGCATACCTGCCCCCACTGTCCATTCACACATTACCCTTTGTCTCCCTCTCCAAGGGAGTCTCCGGTGCTGTTTATAGAGCTTTGAAGCCTCCCCGCTGCGCAGCTACCCGCAGGGGCTCAATAGGACTCATTCGGAAAACGCACTGCATCCTCACAGCATCCCTGCGAGGTAGGCTTGGGCTCGGAGCACACGCAATGGCTGCCCGGCTGGCTTTTGCGTGAGCGAGGGCATTTGAACCCCACTCTCCCGGCTTCGGCTCCATCATACTGGCCCTGTTGGGGGAACCGGCTCCACAAAGGGGCACTCGGCTGGCCGCAGAGGGGACGCCGCCCGCGCTCCCTCGAGCACAAAGGGGCCGCGCGGCAAACCCGAACGTAAGCGACGGAAACGCGCACTTTTCACGGGCATGGCCCAGTGACGCAAGAGAATACGGGAAATCCCTCAGACGGGAAAAGGGCGGCATCCTTCGCCAGCCTGCCGCCCTCGGGTAAATCGCGCAAGAGAAGGAAGGGAGGGCGGGGGGGTCCTCGGCAGTCCACCGGGGCGCGCAAGTCCCTGGCCTCCCACGGTGGCTTGCAAGAAAGGCACTTTTCACATGCTCAGCGGCGCTTGAGCATGTGCAGACTACTTTTCCCTCCAGTGACCGCGGGGTCGGTGTCCCCCCGCAGGACCGGCGCCTCCGCTCTTACCGGACGGCGGGAGGCTTGCGCGGCAGCGGCTTGTAGCAGCTCTGCCCTTCCTTGAAGTAGCGGCCGGCGGCGAGGCAAGCGCCCAGGAGCGGCGGCAGCAGCAGCAGGGCCGAGAGAAGGCGACGCCCGGCCATGATCGCGCTGCAAGTGCCGGCCGGCGGCGGCCCGCGGAGAGTGCGCCTCGGCGGGGCGGGGCGGGGCGGGGCCGGCGGCCTGGGCGGGGGGGCTGCTCTGCGCGCGCGCGCGAGGCTGCGCCTGGGCTCGGTCGT